TGATTATAGTGGTCATATGGTAATGGGTGATTCATTTAATACATCATTATTTAAACAAACATTTCAAAAAGTATTTGCAAAAGATAATAAGAATGAATATCGAATGAATTTCGGTGCCACTGTCGAAGTGAAGGTAAAATTACCAAAGAAAATTCGGATGATGATTGCTTTTCATATGTATGATTGTCTTTAGACAAGTCGGGAACTTAAAGTTAGTGGTGCAATTGGTTCTTGTGTATCACTTGCACAACGTGCATCCAATGTTTCCGAAACAGAATTAGGTATGGGTGGAACAAATGCATGGAAAATTTGTGGCATATATCCAAATTCAACTCTATCGGTCTTTTTCGAAGTACTTAATCAAGTGAGTTGGGGTTTTATCGCGTATGTCGATTATTGATTATTTTTTATTAGCAACAAGCATCAGCACAAGCTTCAGCGGGTGGTCAACGAGGATATGTTCAATTTATTACACAATATCAACATTTATCTGGGTTTAAAAAAATTCGAGTTACAACTGTAGCAAGAAAGTACGTAGTCGATCCATGATAATCATTTATTATTACTTTTATTTTTCCCATTAGTTAAACTTCCTATGAGAATTGGGAACTAACTACATTGATAATTCAGCTCCCATAAGAGTTGAATCCGATGGTTGCCCAAAACTATTGCAGACATAATTAGAAATTCATTTTTTATGAGCTTGATTGACTATTTGAATAATAAAGAAAATACTGAAGTATCTGTTAAGAACTACAGATAATCCGGGAAAGTGCCACGAAAAAACATACGTAGAACTCGAAGTTATTATCATTTTGAGTCGCGCTGTTCTTCTGAAAAGAAACGATCATCCATGGTTAATGTGGCATTTGATTGCACAACATCTTGTATCAATAAAAATAAAATTCACTATAAGGTCTATATGATATTTGTTTCGAACTTTGAATGAGTTTTTCTCCAGTTTTCTTACTATACATAGTATTCTTTAAAAGTAACAGAATAAAAGTTCCTACTTTTAGTTAAAACTGCCTTTATATACGGATAGTTTATTATTTTCTTTCTCATCATTGACTAGAATGAATTTTCTACGACACTACTCAACTTTTTCTCAGTCAATCTAAATATCTATCATTTCTGACGGACATGTTTATACTGCACGAAAGAAAATGGTGACATGCTAGAGAAAAAAAAATCGAAATTATGACTGTCACATGCAGATGTCTCATTACGTATGTATTCATCAAAACAAGAAAAAATTGACAAGTTTGTGGATGTGAATAATTATGAAGATGTCATTGAAATCACTCGTACACATTTTCTATCTTTTCGCTTATGTTACCGACAACTTTAATTAGCCAGGAAATCCTCTTAATTGACACTATTTGGTAGAACTCGTATTTTACTAATTATATTACAGATAAAAATAAATTCATTAGTCAAGTCAAGCATATATCCCTTTAGGAGTTTTTGTCTAATCAATAAAGAGAATAATTCAAATATGACTCATTTGTAACGAAGATTCTTTTCTAATAATATTCAATTCTTTTAGTTTAATTGATGCTGCCTCAAATATGCCAACAATTGCTGCATCGTTCGATCAAGAATGTGCTAGTGTAGCTATGGCTCGTATAGCAGTTTATCGTGCTGATACTGAAGAAGGTTCTGATGTTCTTCGATGGTTAGATAAAATGCTTATACGACTTGTAGGTTCCAACCAAAAGTCTTTTACTTTTTGAAACAATACTCTTTTTGGTTTAGTGTCAAAAATTTGCTGTTTATGAAAAAGATAATCCAGGTTCATTTCAATTAACCGATACATTTACTCTCTATCCACAATTTATGTATCATTTACGACGTTCACAATTTCTTCAAGTTTTTAATAATAGTCCCGATGAAACGGCTTTCTATCGGTAGAAAAAACTATGAACTTCATTAAAATGTGTTTTTTTATTTGTTTTCAATAGACATTATTTACTTGTTGAAGATTTAACGAATTGTCTTGTTATGATTCAACCTATTCTTTATGCTTATTCATTTAGTGGTCCGCCGGAGGTAAGAATAAACATTTAAAATCAAAAGTGATTCTTATTACAATAAATAAAATCGTTTTAGCCTGTACTTCTCGATAGTAGCAGCATCTTACCCGATCGTATTCTTCTAATGGATACATTCTATCATATATTGATTTATCATGGTGAAACCATAGCTCAATGGGTTAAAGCTGGCTACCAAGAATTACCTGAATATGAAAATTTTAAACAACTTCTACAAGCACCCGTAGGAGATGCAACTGAAATTCTTCAAAATCGTTTTCCTATGCCACGTTACATTACCACTGAAGCTGGAGGATCACAGGTGAATATTCGAATGTTTTCCCTGTGTGTATGATTTTGATGATTTCTTTTAGGCTCGATTTCTTTTATACAAAGTTAACCCATCTCAAACACACACTAATTATGGATGGGGACCAGTAAGTGAAAATCTCCTATTTTATTTCATTTCGATAAAATTTTGATTCACTCTTAGGGCGCTGGCGCACCTATTTTAACCGATGATGTTAATTTACAAACGTTTATGGAACATTTAAAGAAACTTGCTGTATCATCAACAACATAGAAATCTTATTCAATTTTAGCTTTTTCTGTTATGTCATTCAATAAATCTACTTACATCCGTTTTCTGTTCTTGTTGTTCAAGTAAATGTTAAAATAGATTTTCTCTTATATGAACGATTCCAAAATATCTTTTATGGTTCATTACAACTGTCAATCAATACATTTAATTGATTGCGAATAAAACCGATAAATTCTCATTAATTAATGTCACTAGTTTTAAGTTTAATTAAAGCATGTTATACGCCATAAAATCATGAATCTTGAGGTTTCAATCGATTCAATCAATCTTAGAGAATTCTCCTTCGAGATTATACCATAAAAAAAAAGAAGAAGTGCTGCGCGATGATTAAAAAAGAAGCAGCAGGAAAAAGAAATGGTTACATCTTGTATTCTGTTTTCATCGCGTTTAATACATTCATGAATTATTTATGAAACTCATTTTATGTACAGCAGAACGTTTCAGCTTGATCGATTTTTATTTCTTATGTCTAGTATTTAATCGTTTTTTCTGTGTTGTAACAAATATTTTTTTCAAACTGATACGTTTATAAATTGAAAGATTTTCGCTGGACAAACTTTGATTGAAGTTATTTGTAAGACATGATATATGTAAAAAAATGCTACTCACATACACATATGAAATATTTCTCATTATCGTTCAACTCTGTGTTAATAATTAATCTTATAAAATCTTTGAATAATAATCCTATTGTAATCGAAGCTACGTAGATATGAATAACGGCCTCTCTTTGATTTACATGAATAATGAATTCTATAAATCTTTTTTTTGTTGTTGTTGGTTCTATGAATTTTTTAATTAGAATATTCTGCCTTTGAAGATGCCTACGTGATTTCTTTGGATAGCAGGCAGCCTGAGTCGTTCTTCTTCATCATATTTCATTTGACAGAAAAATCTATAAATGCATGTTTTACGTTTTATTCGAGTTGCAACCACAGAAAGAAAAATGATTCTTATCAATTTCATATGATGAAACATCGAGAGTTTTTCTTTTTTTTTCTAAGCATCAACGTGATCAAACGTTCTTCAAAAAACACAAAGAATAAAGAGACAATAGAGTGGCAATATTTTTCTATCGGATTATTTATTTAGTAAACAATGTAGAAGCAAGAAAGATAATATCTGAGTATAACACTGAAGAAAATAATAGAAGAAAGAGAAGAAGAAAAATATGATACAATTGTGAAGATCATTGAATAATATAAATAAGAAAAGACATTTGATGAAAATGAAGAGGAACAATGATGGAAACCTATGATGTTGAAGAGTGATAAATACATGCACTTATTCATTCACAATGATGAATGTGCGTGCTTTTTTTCCCCAATTGTATGTTATTCGAACGATGTCGATGGATGCGTACAATCTGATTAAGAAATGAAAGCTTACATTATTTTTATGGGTGTTGCTTATTTTATTCCGTTCCACCCCTTGGGCCATCGTCAGTTGCGATGTTTATAGTTGTACATCGCATAGTTTTGTCTTTGACTTTTTTTCTTACTCAATAAACAGCAAATAAGTTGATGAAATATATTTTTTTTTTGTCATCATCATCATCATCGCGTCGATTTGCAAGAGAATACCTTGAAAGGCGCTATTAATATGTTCGATGTATGGCTGGAATGCGAATAACGATGATGGCAGAATTCCCATAATCAAATTTCCTACTTCGCGAGTCACATGTGGAGTTGCGCCTGTCTCATCTCTCAGCACAACAGTCAATCAGATAGCCTACTACTGTGTGTTGAATGCACACGCACGAACGATAATCGAAAGAGATGCTCAATGTGCGCTGTAGAAGAGAGATGATAAACTTCTTCATCGGATTCTTCCCTCTTTTTTTTCACAAAATATGGCTGCGAGCGTAATAAAATGATGTCTCTATTCTCGCTTTATTATATATATATATATATATATATATGTATACATGAAAGAAATGAGAGTTTCTATTCAAGCATTTTTCTTTCTTTACTCATGAAGCAAATCTTTCCAAGTATCTATATCGCTGTCTTTCAGAGTAATGCTGTTCAAGCGAAAGAAAGTAGACTAGAGAGATAATGCTCTAATCGGGACACGACACTTGAAGAAATGGGTAGTAAGAATCTATCGTCTCTCGCTCTCGCGAGAACGAGCACGTCATAGTCTAGCAGCATTTTCCCGTTTTCCGAGCAACTCGTTTCTCTTCTCCTTCTTCTCTCTTCATCATAAAAGAAAATATAGAAAAACTGACAACAGCTAAAGCACTACTATTAACGCACGCACACACACAAAAAACTCGAAGAGTAGTAATCGTATAATAATAAATTTAAAATCAATTCAAACTTTTCCCTATTTATTAATATCTCATTTAACCACAAACAAGAGTAATGTTCTTTACAGTTCTTATAGTTTTTCTGTTCATCGGTAAGACTGAATACACTATTTATCATAGATAATGATCAAAATATTAAAATAAATCGTATTTATTTATTGTACATGTAGATTATTCTTTCGAACAGAAGTGTAATAACCGCGAACGAACACATACGTGGAATGCTGAACAACGATTAATATGTGATTTACTTGATAATTATCAAGTTAAATGGGGTCGGCCGGTAAGAAATATGACCGAAGATGTTGAAGTACGATTTGGTTTACAACTCATCCATATAAGTGATCTAGTAAGTTAGATAAACAATCATGGGGAAAAACAAAGAAATAAATCTTTATTTAGGATGAAAAAAATCAAGTACTAATTACAAATCAATGGCAGAATTATGTATGTGAACAAATTAATCTGTTAATCATTTTCTATGCGTTTTATTTGTTTAGGAATGGGATGACGAAGCATTGACATGGTAAGTTTAATATGGATAGAAAACACAATTTCAATAACTTTTTTTTCTTTCCGTCTATGATTTTAGGGATCCCGAAGATTATGGTAAACAAAGAGAATATAATTAATGAAGAAAAAACCAATATATAAACATTTTAATTTCAGATAATCTTATGGATATACGTTTACCTATAAAACGCATTTGGCAGCCAGATGTGACATTATATAACTAGTAAGTTCTTGGTTAAAATCCCAAAAGACAAAACCAGTTAAAGAAACATCTGCAACTCATTTTTCTTTTTTTCCATCGTCGTGATAGAGAAAATAAGATGTGCCTTAGGATATCTTCTGACAGACTCCTATGGAGATTAGCATGCTTATTTTTGATAATATTAGCCTAACTTACATTTTTCTCCCTCGTCTTCTGCGTCTAGTGCCGATACACGTCTTGAAGAAAAACGTGAAGTGCTAGCGACTGTTTATCATAATGGAACTGTATTCTGGAAGCCAATGTCAATTTTTAAATCTACGTGCCAAATTGATATTCGGTTAGTTGATTGCCTTTTCTATTTATCAATAAACAAATATGTGTGTATATTATACACATATATTTCTTAGACGCTTTCCATACGATCGTCAAAATTGTTCGATGAAATTTGGCTCGTGGACATATGATAGTTCGAAAGTAAACTTAAGATTCTATCGTGATATAGAAAAATTCGATCTTAATGCGTATGTTAAATCAAATGAATGGTCCATTATTGGTAATTATGCTAATCGTAATGTAGAAAGATATGGTGAATATACTTGAGAAACAAAAACTAATTAAATTCTTTAAAATAAATCTTCTAATAGATTGTTGTCCAGAAATTTATGTTGATTTAAAATTTCATATTCAACTGGAACGACGTGGTGGATTTTATAATTATATTTTAATTTTGCCGTGCGTGCTTTTATCATGTCTTACTTGCATTCTGTTTTGGTTACCAGTAAGAAAAATAAATAGAGAGTTAATTGAAAAAAAATAAATTGTTATTTTTTAGCCGGAAAGCCCATCAAAGTTGGTTCTTGGTAAGAAAATCATTTCTTTTTTGTTCTATTTGAATAATTAATGATCTCATTTAATAGGCATGAACATCTTTACATCATTTTTTGTGTTGTTACTTCTTTTATACAAAAATATGCCTTCGAATGCAGAGCATATTCCACGTATAGGTAATACATGTATATATATATATATATATATATTTATTTAAACAGGATTGAAGACTGTTTCTATTTTTACAAATTATCCACAGAAAAAATAAAAATCTGTCCGGAAATGAAATATTTGTTACGAAGAACAGAATATTTCCTGCTCTCTACTAGAAGAAAACAATGCCAACGGAAAAAGATATCATTATTAAACTTCTATCCGTGTGAACTTAGAATAGAATTACAATTTTCCTCTTTTTTCTTAAACAAGAATCTCGTCAGACTTTAACATGAGATAGTCGTCTATGACAATTAAAAAGAAACTCTAATGACGAGAAATCCATACCCTAGCTTCTTTCCCTCTACGTAAAGATGGAAAATAAATAAAAAAATTCTCATTAGACGAACAACAAACATTGACTTATAAGATGTATGGACTCGAGTGAAATTTCTTTATGACGATTGAAAATCTAATATTTAACGATGTTAGGATCAATCAAAGCCGAAAGAAGTAAATAAAAACTTGTTAGTTACATCTTCTAGATTAGCTTTACTCTCTACATGAATAAGATGATCGCAATGTTATGACGGCCAACAGCCAATAGTTCCGTTTATATTTAATTTCAATATCATATTCTTTTTTTTTTCAGGTGCTTATTATTGTTTAAATATGGGAATGATTGCTACATCAACATTTCTATGTACAATAGTCGTTCACATCTATTTTCGTGGTGCTGGACCAATGCCAGCAGTCTTAAGAAAAGTATGTTTTTATTATTTATTTATTTTTTTGAAGATCAAAAACATTGCCTACTTTAAAAAAAAACAAAGGTTTTTCTTGAATGGCTCGCTCGATTTTTTCATATGGTACCGCATACAAATGCGTATCAACAACATGCCGTGAATGGATTAATGGCTCCGATAAAAGCAACATGTGATGGAGATAAATTTGAAAAATTCGAACTATTAAAAGAACGTTTTAAATCATTTGGCGATAAACGTACAATGCCAGGCGCCAATGATGAATCTGCTGAAGTGTTAGAAATGATGAATGATCATAGCTATCATCAACATCCTCATCAATTCCAACAGAATCAAGAAAGTTCGTTAACACAACAAATTCAACAACAAATATCAGCATCAATTACATTTATGACTGTTGAAACCGATCTAAAAGAAATACGAGATTTTCTACGTACAACAAGAAAACGTATGGAAAATAAAGAAGCTAAAACGAAAACAGTCAACGATTGGAAACAAGTTGCACTTGTCTTGGATCGAACATTCTTTTTTATCTATCTTACAGCTATTATTATTTCCCTTGCCGTTATGTTTCCGCGATAAAGCACTTTTTTCTCTTACATTTTTAAAAAAGTTTTATTTTATAATTTTGATGATACGACAAAACGAAGATACCTACAAGAAGCAAAACTAATAATAAAAATATTGCTCTAGTATTTCTATGGATTTTAATCTTCGAATCTCGACATGTCTTTTTTATGACTGCTTCGTGCAGTTTGTCTTCATCTTAGTGTCGAAGTAAAGATAAACTAGGATGCTAATACGGCATCCATGTTTCATTATAGAACAGGCAAAGACATGTTCGAATAGAAGAAGAAAAAAAAGAATTATTTCTGTAAAGCTCTTAAGATTATATGTCTAATGCAAATAAGATTTCGTGAGTGAGCCCCAATGGAAATAGCGTTTCTATGTCAAATTACTACAAAAAGGTCACTCGTTGAATAATATGGCAAAAAGCAGCGTACTATTGATGAAATTATTTAATCTATATCTGTAAAATGACTGATCATCGTGTTGTTACATTGAAGACAGAACAGGAACTTTTCCCTCTTTTAAACGATATTTCTGCAAATAGAGAATTGCGAGTCATAGTAAACAAGTAGTTTAGTTTTTAGAGCTTGATGCATTCTGATTGATTGTTTTTAGACATAAAAATTAATTCTACTTGACTTATTGGCATCATGTGTCGTCAAATCAATTATAATCATGCACCCCACTCTGCCTTCTCAAAAAGTAGACTCATGCTTCCTTCAGTATTATCGAAGCTAGAATCAGCCAAGGCCAGCTCCTTCACAAACAAGATGATCTTTTAGCTATGAAGCATGTTCTTTAATACAATTTAGTCGTTTTTTTTCTTCTTTAGTTGCACATCGCTCGATTCTAGGTGGCGCTTCATTTCAGTTTATTGCTTGAAACACACGGTCGGGGTTGTATTTTAGTTGGCTTTGTTTCGTATTCGAGAAAGAAAATTGTCGTTGAAATCACATCTAGGACGAAAGTGTGAAACTCATATATTTTGATTGTTATCAATGCAATATATAGTATTAAAATAGTGATCTTAATTAAGTTCATTCGAAGAAAAAACTCGTAAGGTAAAATTTTTCGTATCAGTCTATCACCGATAAAACGGAATTATTTTGTTTAACTTTTATTAACAAATAGAAATTAGAATCAAAAATTTTCTTGAAATCGTCGACATGAATAAGTTGTACGATTGGGTATACAACGATCGACTCCTATTAGAAGATTGCCTCGTCTAAATAACGAAAGAAACTCCTTGTCACTTTTTTTCCACACAAGTGATTCAACTTACGAAAGTCCCACGACTTTACATTCAGGATTTCGTTTGAATTCTGTTCGAGCAAATAATGCCATTTGTGCACTGTGTTCAGAAGGTATTTTACGATATTGACGAGTACTATCGGATACTCGTTCATCTAAAGATAAACATGTTAAAACTAATAATCAATTGAAAGCTGCTCGCGCTTACATTCAACAAGATGAGTATTTTCAATAAAATCGAATTTAGTATCATTAGTTTGTTTCTACAATATAGCAATGATGAGTTACATTTATAAATACGAAAAATCAAATATTTACAATAGTTTCACTCGGCGTTGATGTAGCTTGAATTTCAGCTTCTATATGAGCCATTTGTGAAAGCATCAAGGCCCACTATATAATTTAAGACAACACGAGAATCAATATTAGACAGATGTCGGAGATGATTTTATAATAGAAATTAGTTATATTAGAATTTACTATGATAAATACAACACAATTTCAGCTAGATTATGTTTACCAAATGATGACGATTTTCTTAAAGTTTTAGCTTTTTCGATTTCTTGAAAATTATATATTTATTCTTGGAATATGTTCAGCGAAAAAAATCTAAGAATAAAACTTCTGCTTCATGAAGGGAAGTGTTTCCGTAAGGAAGACAACCAAAGTTAATGACTTCGGTATAGAAACGTGGAAAAATAATTTTTCATTCTGTTTATTGTGAGCACAAACAATGGGATATACTTCTGCATTCATTCTTGCTATATTATATTAGACAATTCACTTCCTATTGATTCCAAGATTACTCATCAAGTGTAATGCTCTATTTTTGGAGATGTAGAAGAAGACAAAGCACGGCTGAATAAAATTGTGATTACACGTCTTTTCATCGATTGTAAGTGCTGACAAGAAAAGTCTGCCAATGGATTGAATGCTATTGAGTTGAAACTATGTGATTTATGTCGACTCAATGAATTACGACTACGTTGAAAAGCGCGGAGACTCTTAGCTAATTGCTAAAGGTTTAGTAATTTTAAGCAGCATTTTTACGTCTATAAGATAGTCTCAATCTAACTAGATTATGAAAGTTTCAGATCATTAGCCTTTTCTTACGGATAGAATAAAACAGGGCCCGCATGATGCGCATAGAATCGTGCGTAGTTGTACGATGAATTTTTCTTCGTTCTGATTTCAACTTTTTAAATATAACTTATTTAAATTTCCTGCCAATGAATACTAACTAGAAAAATGAAAACAAGATCCTTACCAATTCTTTAAGATAATCATCCGTTAATAATTTTTGTTCAATAACACAACCAAACACCATTTGTGAGTTGTTTTGAACATAAAGAACCAATTCATCGCGTTCATTTTCCGTATTTTTATCTGATATATTCTTCCAACTAACTCGTATTTCATTACGATCACTTTTAAGAAGTTCCGAAATATGTAAATCTGGATTACTGATTACTGTTTCTGCTCGATCACGAGATGAAACGAATGATGAGTGACGTATCAATTGAAAATTTCCAATAGGACCATCATCATCATCATCATCATCGTCGTCACCGCCGCCGCCGCCGCCGTCACCGTTGTGATCGTCATTATTATCATTATTTTCATTTGTATCAACTGGTACTATTTCAATGTGATCAAATGAATCAGTTAAGCTGTTATTACGGTCAAGTTTAATTGTTTTCTCCATTTCATTACTCATTGTTGAAGAACGTGAACGTGACTGTGATCGCATTTGTCTTATTTTGTCTTCATCAGTTAACGGCTTTTCCGGCGATACACATGACGAAGAATCATGAGCATCTTCATTTAGATTCTAAAAATCAGTAAGATCTTAAGAGAATGTAGAACAACAAGAATTCTGATGAAATATTTACCTGTGCATCAAGTTGATTGTAATTTTCACTTGTAGACTCTGATGATACACTTCTTGTATCAGCAGCACTAGACGAGGATAGTTCATCCATGGTATCAGTTTCAAAACCTGTTTCTTCAGATGAACCAGATTGATCTCTTGAGAATAGCATTCCAAGACGCTTTTTATGCACAAACGATGGTGAAAAATCAAAACTATTGAAGCGACTTTGTAATGATGAAGGTGTTGAATCGTCTGATGGCAATGAGAAATCCTTCAATATACCAATGGGCTGTGCGACTAATCTGGGTTTAGTTGAGTTTGAACTGGTAGCATGCGTGGTAGTTGTAGTCTTAACAGTTTGATCTATAGAATTTTGCGTTGGTATTGAATCCGGTGATCGACGAATGTAAAGACGAAATAATGATACGCCATTTTTTAGTTGGAATTCAGATTCCCATGGAAAGTGTATTAAGTTTTTCTGTAAAAATTAAATTTTTCATCGTTTATTATTCGTCTCAAATTTAAAAATTTGAATATACTTCTTCGAGTGAAAAAGTGAGATAAGCGATAGATACAAAGAATATCAATAAAGAAATGTTTTACGTTTGACTAGAAACATATTGGTGATCGACAAATAATGAATAAATAGTTAGGGAATGATGAAAGCGACAAAAAAAATGTAGACGTAGTTTTTCATCTGTGCAGAACGTTGAAAGCTCAAATTTGAATTGAGTTCATTTTCGGTCTATGTAACAAGTGTCTGTTTCATTGCATATGCTAGAGTATCAAGTTTTGTTGATAGAGAACAAAAAGTGAGATTGTTCTTCGCAAAATACTGTCAGAGTTAAAAACTATAAAAAAAAGAATTAAATTTACTTCAGAGATCTATTTATCACAGGAATTTAGAAAATGATCTGAATCGCTGCAGTTTATCGTACTGAACTTCTCTCTGTCTCATAAGAACTTGCAGTAAACAATTACTAGTGATTTTTGTTCATTACAATTATATATCTTGATTGAATTTTTTGCGTTGTAAAATTTATCTGAATTCAATTTAGGTTGTCTTTCAATGTCTGTTCTTAATTGTAAAACTAGAAGTAACCCCACCAATTCCTGACAAGAGTCTTTCATAAAAATTAATGTTCACGATTATTCATCATATCAAAACGAAAACGAAGATACTTACAGCCAACTGTTTTCTTAACTGGAACATCAGTTGGAAATAAAAGGTTGTATCAGCGTCCCATGTTGAATATAGAACTCTAAAATGTACATAAATTAAAAATCTAATGATTAATTTATTTACGTGATATTACTTATTATTATATCCAATAAGTCCATCTTTCAGTCCATACTTCGACTTGAGATAATCTAGCCAATGTTTACTTTCTAGCATAATTCTTTGATTGCCCTACACAGTTAAACGACAAAAACGAATCATAATTCTGAACACATTTTTGAATTATTCCTACAGTTTTCAACTGTGTGTATTGAACAGTGGAAAACAAATGTGAAATAGACGGAGTTCGATTGAGAGCATAATTCACAAGTGGTGTTAACGCTTGATTTAGAAATTCATTTATTTTATTATCTTTACCATAAATCTAAAAGAATTTTCGTTCGTTAATATAACCATTTAATATATTTACTTACTGAATATATATGATTCCATGTGCCGTACAGCATATTAAATAGATCCATTATATGCTTAAGATGAATTTGTGCCTCTTCCTTTGTACAACTACCATTCGATACAGATAAAAACTAAATAGAAAAAAGAAACAAGTGCTTATTAAATTATATGACCACAGGAAAATTGCTTTACGCTACTATGTCGGCCGTAATGTTCATGTACAACAAGTGCTTTTTGGAAGTGGAATGTTTTTGCTATTGATTGGAAAAGATCATGTTGAAAATATTGAACAATACCAACGATTTCTCCACATTCCAGAAGTTTCTAAATATTTATTAAAGGAAAAATGAACTTTTTCTTTTTAAATAACCTATATTGAGAAAATGGTATCTACTTGTTTTTTTATTTGATCGTCTCTTGGGTAGAAATATAGAATAGCTTCAGGAAGAACATCATTATCATCTTTCGATCCTTGCATTAAATAAAAATCAAATATGAAGAAAAACATATTCGGCGACGTCATGTCAAATTTGAGTCTATGGATTGTTAAAGTAAGAAAACGAAATAGGATGAAACTAAGGACAAAAAACTCTTTTTTATGCTTATGTAATAGAGAAGGAGGAAAAAAACTATAATACTATATTCTTCTATTATCTTTCTTTTCTTCTACTGATGAGTCAAATAAAAGACGACATACCTCAAACACGAGTCTAGTACGGATGATAAAGCAATTTTTTTATTTAATCAAATATACTCTCAACTGATTTGTGTGAAGGTGAAAAAGCTAAATAAACGAATGAAATTGTCATTGCAACACGAAAATCTTTCTCTGGACGAATGACAAAACATGTGACATGAAGTAGGATGAATTACTATAGGTAAAAGTACTTGTGTTGCACTTTTTTTTATCCGTGTTATCATAACAAGAAACTTATGCTGATATTATGAGAACGCACAGAACATTCGAAGGTGCATGATGTATACAAGCTTCGCGTCATTTAGTGCGGATAATTTAAAAGAAAATTCATACAAACGTATTTTATAAAAATTACAAAATTAAATTCTAGCCTTTGAAAAGCTTTTTTTTCTATGCAAATGATGATACAATTTGACTAAGAAATTATTGTGGAAGGGTGAAAACATCAGCTCATATCAGATAAATTACTTGAAAAATAGAGCATTTTTTCTTGTGACGAAGTATATCGAGGTCATTAATTTGCATTGCTAGTTTGATGGATTTTCAGTTAAAGCTTGTTGAAAACATGTTAGAAAATTATAAGCACTATAAAGCAGCAGAATGAGGTTCTGCTGAAACGGGGAGAATTATCACTTGCGGTCTGGGTTCAGGTTCGTTTGTATCAGAGACCGTCACAGGGCAGTCCTGCCTTGCCCTGCCCTGATGACAGGACAGGGCAAAATTTTTTGCCCTGCGCCCTGGTAATTTTCCTATAAACTGATATACAGCAGATTTTTCAGTCGATTATGCTGACATGGTGATGGATTATAGTGTATGTCATTATGCGCCAGTCACTGTGAAATTTGTTGCTATGTCTAGTTCGGACAATACCAGTTTACTCATTTATTATCATATAATTCAATTATAAAAATAAAATACTGCTTCAAAGAGAAATGCAAAACATGGTAGAACCATTTAATATTGTGTAAGAGAACGAGCTAATTTAAGAATTATGTGTATGATGAGCTTTTTTTCTAAATGATTTTAGACATGAGCTTGGTGTTCCAGAGGAAATTTCACTTAAAGATTCAACATGTTCTAATGGTAAATTTCTTCGCATGTTTTAGTTTTGTATGCTTAGTTCTCTATGTTTTAAATTATTTTCACTTGATATGAACTCGCCCGGTTCTACAAAATTAGAAAATCTCTTGTTTCATGATAAATCTTACCACCCCATAATACACAATGAATCTCTTGCTACTGGT